GTCTTTATATAGAGCAGAAGTATATTTTGTTGGAAAATTCTTTAGCCTTTCCATGGACACTTGAAGTTATTCATTATTAAATTTAAATTATAAAATTAAATCATTGATAATACAACTGTGACTTCACAAATATAACTCTGTACCTGGTTAAAACCCCAAATACTTACGAAAGCCTTACCACTGGGCTGTCTGTGTGAAGTTTTCTGGGCTTTCTTTACATTTGTAACACCTACATAGGGGCCAGTTTCTTGTAGAAAATCCTCTTGGGAGAAACCCTCTTGTCAGATTGTGCATGTTGCATTAAGATTATTTTGATTAACTAACTTTTCTATCCCTTTATATCTTAATGCTTCAATGTGCGGTTGGTCATTTGAAATTGTGCATAAAATACTAGAATTTTTATATAATTTTACACTTGCACATTACGTAGTTAGAGATAGAGGGATCTGGTTTAATTTCTTAAGTAGTTTCTCAATTAATAACTCGGATAAACGCTGTTTCTTTAAGATAGTTTTATGTCTAAGCCTAGCAAAAGGACAGATTTAATTGAAGAAATACAGATTTTAATTTAAAAATTTAATTAATTTGGTGTCGTATTTTGTAACATCTTAAAGAAAAAATACCTTATTTTATATAATTTTCAGTTTAACCGATTTAAAAAGTTTGCTGCTAACCTAAAATTTTATTTTTGTTAGTTCCTACGCCAAATATTTTTGCACATTTGGGACCGTTGCAGCTGACGTACGATGAGACTACGTTATTATGGTTGAATACATTTCTGTTGAATTTGGCGAAATGCATTGTAAGTAATGTCTCCTTATTTTTATTCAATAATATTTAAATTTGACCTTTTGAAATTCATTGATAAATTACCTAACTTCACTGCCTGTAACCGGTGTTCTCCAATACGAAGGACTTTGCAAACGTTTTCGAACCTAATCTGGTTCTTCTTCAGGCGCTACGGAATATCTATATCTCGTTCCAATGATTCCCTGGTTAAGTACATACCAATCACATACAACCCGGCACTTAAGGCCATATACAACCAGATAGCCAAGAAAAAGAATGTCCGCTTGGCATTTAGGAGATGCACCACAATATTCGATTGGCTTAGAAATGGAAAAGACTCTCCAGACAGCAACAGACTTCCGGGTGTATACTCTGTGCCCATCACAGATCATAGAGAGAACAGGGAAGTAATTTACATCGGGTCCACTAAATGCAACTTACCATAAAAAGTATTCATTTAGAAATGACTTATTATTATTTTCCTGGAGATATTACTTTACCAGGTAAATTATTTATTATATATTTCTACACCAATATATCCATTACTAAACAAGAAAATCGTTTATTGAGCTAACCATTGTAATTCAGAATTGGTAATTTCTAATAAAGCACTTAGCCCCATTCTTTTTAATTTATTTGTCAATAATCTTCCGAATTTTTTACACAGTCGTAATACTATGCGTATATATCTGTTAACATCGAGCGAATTGAATTGCCCTTTGTTTGCCGACGACATTGCAGTACTTCCTTATTCTCCTATTGGTCTTTAGCAGAAACTTAATCTTTTACAGAATTATCGTGGGACTAATAGATTATATATTAATGAGATTAAATCTAAGGTATTAATTTCTTTGAGAGGTGTTAGACTGGGAAAAGCTGATAAATTCTATTTATTCAATTTGGAGTTGGAAGTGGTATTGTTTTATAAATACTTAGCCATTTATTTTACTCCGCAGATCTTGTTTTCATTTCGATAAATTAATTACAAAATTTAAACTTAAACTTGGTAATTTAATCGAGCTGACGATTAGAATGAAACAATCTGTTAAGTCATATTTTCANAGAATTATTCACACCACGTTCAGCACACAACACCTCAGATGGCTAGAGGCCTTATACATTTGCCTTAACACCCTCAGGAATAAGCACTGCATTAACTTCAAACAAGAAATGAAGATATCAACAGCATTGGAAGCCTTCCTCAATAAATCTCTGAAGTAACAACATACGGATAATGCGCAAGTCTACAATGACGCCATCGGTAACACGTGACAACATTCCAGAAAGATTTTCCAAAATAACGGTTAATTCTAGACTGGAAATTTGAATTCATATAGAGAATTCCGTAGCGCCTGAAGAAGAACCACATTAGGTTCGAAAACGTTTGCAAAGTCCTTCGTATTGGAGAACACCGGTTACAGGCAGTGAAGTTAGGTAATTTATCAATTACGGTGTTATAATTTCTATATAGAAATTCGTTGAATATACATATAAAGTACTAGTGGAGATACCCAGTGTTGTCTGGGACATATTTGAATTTAGTGATTTGAAAAGTTTGGGTTAGAACTAAATCAGATATGATGAAGGAAGACATCATATTTGATTTAGTTCTAGTCTATAGAATCTTGTCTTAATCTATAGAAATTTTCCACTAACATTGAAGTAACGATGGTATCGCTACATTGGATTGGGATGCAGTTTTTCCGTGTTGCAGACACGTGTGGGATTTCGAAGACAAGTATGTGCCAAATTGTTTGTAAAGTTGTCTTAGCCATTGACTACTTTTTCCTCAGTTGAATTTCACAAAATTTCAGAAATTCCATTAGTCGGTGGAACAGTCAATGGACCCTAATTAAAATTGATACCCCAAGCAAACACAAAACTGCTTTTGTTGACCGACATGAAAACATTAAATATGCAGTCTGTTGTTGAAATTTTATTACGTATGTGCAAATTGGCTGGATGGTGTTAGTGATGCAACGCTGTTGAGAAATGACATATAGAGTGCAAGAATGACTGAGGATGATATTATTTCTTTATAATATTTCTATTATATTATACCTGATTGATAATATTAGTGAAATTCTCAGAGATTCTCTCTTGGAAAGATGTGTATATAATTAGAAACAATTAATGTTGTTACCAAACGCCTCAATGTATGTAAGTGTTACATGCCTTTTTAGGAGGAGCATAAACAAAAAGATCTGGTGGATTTTAAATTTCCAAACATATTACAGTGGGTGATCGTTAACGAACAGTTCGGACAGCGAACAAATCGGATAACAAACACATTTGCGAAAGATTTTTATGTTTGGCTAACAAACACTTCACAGAACAAACAGAAAAAGAAGCAACATAAAATAGTGAATACCGATTGTTCTTCCTTCCCTTGTCTCCAGATGACAATTTGAAACATTTTGGAGCTCTGAAGATGTCGACATCGACTCTCAACTCGATTCCGATCAAATAGTATTCCTCCGAATTTTGAAACTCTCCCTTGTAATTCCAGCTTTTTGTTTACCTTTCTGACAAATAATTTTTTATAGTCTTTGCGAGACTGTTGGGCGGGTACTCGTTAAGTTTTGCATCACTTTTTATTTACGAAAGGAGAGAGTTTAACTGTCTCATCGGATATCCATTAACATTTTAATACCAGATTTTGAATTTCAATAATTTTTGTGTGCTAGTTGGTTTCTGTTCTCTGAATTTTTTAAAGTGCTTTTCTGAGTTTTTTATTTAAAAAAGAAACTGATAATATTACGGAGCCTAAAAAGAGTGGTGTGTCAAGAACTGTGCTCACCGTAGAAACCAAGCAAGAGATAATAGCCAAGGTAGAGAGTGGGCACAAGATGTGTGATGTTACTAGGCAGTATGGCTTGAACAGGTCTACAGTAGGCACAATCTTAACTATGAAAGATATATCAAGAAGTCTCAAGCAGCTACGGGAGTAATAAAAATAACATCTGAGAAATAAAGAGCATTGAAGAGCTCATAATGGGATCTGAAACTGATGTGATAACAGATGAACTCTTAAATGAAGAACACCAAGAAACTCGGCAAGATGTGTTTTATTTTGAATAAGAAGACGAAAGAGGATCATTGCTGCTATGAAAGATCTTTTGAAGAAGTGGGAGAATGTCAGAACAACGGTCTTAGAATGGCATCCAAACCAGGTTGAGGTTAATAGACTTGGGGATCTCTACAATTACAGTGCTATTAATTACTTCCCAAAAATCCTGAAGAACAGAGAAAAGCAATTGACATTGGACAGATACTTTAACGCCCCACAAACAGAAAAAAACATGACAATAAAAGACTGTGTATATATGTATTTTTACTATTACATATAAATAAACATAGTAAGAAAGTATACATTTTTTAATTTTTGGAGTCTTCAGAACAAATTAATCGAATTCCCATAAAAACCTATGGTAAATCGATAATCGGTTAACAAACAATTCGGATAGAGAACAAAGTCTTGGAACGGATTATGTTTGTTAACCGATCACCCACTATATTTACAATCTGCGGGAAAGGCAAGACTCTTCCAGTTATAAGCCGGCAGTGATTAACGTTTGTCCTCGAGATTGGTTAATCAACATGGCAAAACTTGGTGAAACAATAAAGTTATAGTATCTTAATTTAAATCAAAGGGTGTGTCAGTGTGGTGTGGTATGATACATTAAAGAATCTTCTCCCTTGTAACAGCCAGTGGCAGTTACAAGATAGATAGCAATTGAATCTTCTCCTTAGCAACAAACAAAAGAAGGCTGTAAAATGTAACCTCTTGATGAATATTAATATTGTAAAGTAAAAAATTTTTAGTGTATTAATTTTACTTTAGAAAGTACACAGATTTTGTTTCCCATTATAGCAAGAAGCTAGCAATTCTTCTTCCTCCTCCTTTCAAAGTTTTCTTCTTTCTTTAAATATTCGTACGGAACTATTAATGCCCCAGGTAAGTTATTAAATTTTTAAAGATAAAATTACCGTTCCGACGTGTTCGAAGATATGATTATCTTTATTTTAATTTAGATTATTATTCCCTCCGATAAAAGTTATCCGAAGCAGGTCGAACGGCCGAAAGCTTTGCACCTGCAGGCTTCTAGGATTGTGATGACGAATTGTCGGATCGGCGATCATGCGTCCCACTTGCATCTAAGCGAATGTTTAGAATCTCTCAGTCATGGAAGTATGTTTTTTGATAGGACCAGTTATCCTTGGAGAGAAGACGATTTGAATCCGATTGCCGAAAGATTCATGCAGCAAATGACCGGTAAGGTCTTTACATATTAAAATATAATTCAATTAAAGAGAATATAATTGAATTTTTTTTATATTATTTAGATAAACACGTAAAAGGTAATGGTAAAAGTAGTCCAAAATCACCTAACGAGCTTAACGTTGTTATGGAAGGACATGATATGTGGAGCATTCATTTAGATCCTTGTTGGGCCGATTTTACTTATGACAACAGTAATTTTAAGTCACAAACGTTTGTTGATCCCTTACCCATCACACTTTGGATTTATATAAGAGCTTTAAGTGAAGCATTAAACGAAGAATTAAATTCTCACATGGATGTGAATCAGAATGGTATCAACATCACGAATATTAGTAATGGAAGCATTTCTGCGTCGTTTCTCAAGAAAGAGAAAACGGAGACGGAATCCGATAACAAAGACTCTAAAGAAGCAGATATATATATGTTAGTGCATGTACATTCTATGTTAAATTTACAAATTAATCATTATCAGTACTTATTTCTATTAAGAACATTAGACTCCCTGATTGCGCTCACTGCGCAGTTGTCGGAAGTTAATTCGGCGTTATCGCCCAGTTCCCACACTCCGACCATCTGCATAACTGCCTGGTGGCCTCAGATTGACATTTCTCTTGTATTACATAGTCTTAATAAGATGCGCACTTCCGATTCAGCCGACGCAGTTTCCTATCAAGACGATCTCTCTTTGAATGAAGAAACATTTTCAAAAAAGAAAACTCTAACCTCGGCATACAGTTCTTTTTCATTATGTGAATGTGATAAACGTTCTAAAGGTTTTGATGATGAAATTAATGACATTGTGGCTGAAGGTGGAGAAGAGAGACCTTTTACAAAGTCTCACAGTGACTTACTATTAAACTCTCATTCCAATTCTTCTTCTCCGCCTTCACCTACTTCTCCAACCATTGTGGGCAACACCGAAAGATCCGATTCTCTTCAGAAGAGTCTTCATAGTGGAACATCAGCGATGAGGAGAGGATTTTGTAATTTAATGGCCAGCATAGATTCGGTGTTAACAAAAAATGAGGGTCCTGATTCTGAGACCGTTTCTCACTGTGATGACGACACATTGTCAGTCCAAAGCGATTTTTCGTCTGACAGCGATCAGTATGTGTTGGTCGGATTGGAATCACATTTAACGGATGAAGATCCTTTCCACTTTCATTCCACGGCAGTAGAGATTGAAGAAGCGGCCGAAGTAAAGGAAGAACTGGTCAGTCCTCAAACTACGAGTGGTGAGAAAAGAAAAGAAATGGTTCGTAAAAATATAAAGTTGTTGTTTTCTTTCGTGGCAAAATCTTCATTAATAGGATTTAAACTGTATTCCAGATATCTGTGGTAATACTGAAACTCCTCGGAGTCGAAGTTTCCGCACAGATGATGGAAAATAGAAACTGTCAAGTTGTTCAATGTTATCGTATCGAAAGCAGCGAACATCCTTCGATATCTTGGGAAAATTTTCACAATATTTTCTCTACTAGTAAGTATTTTTATTAAAATTCTTAATAGTATTAACATTTAGTTGCACTTTAATAATCTCTGATGGAATCTGACCTCTAGATCAGTGGTTCCCAATTAGTGGTACTAAAATCGGTCGATTTAAAATTTAAATGCATGAGATGAAGCAATCAAAAAAATAATGGGTGGACCATGAAAAATTCGGCAATTTTCAACATGATGTCGAATGCACAAATTCGTTTATTCATAACTAAAAATATTCTTGAAATTTCATCAAAAATGCATTTGTGACAATACCTAAATGAAATTCTTATGCAAGAAACAAAAATTGTACAATTAACACAATTTTTTTTTGCAAAATTAATTTTGAAAATTTTTGTTGCTGTTATTTTTTGCGCATGACAACGCAACTTCTTGCAGAGTATAATGAGACTTCACTGAGTTTAATAATCAGTTGCGACATTTTGCTTCTAAATCGGGTTAGAATTTATGATGTCAGCGAAGCGGCAATAAAATATTTACTACCATTTTGCACAACATACCTCTGCGAGAGCGGATTTTCGGCCATGACAAACATGAAAACTAAATATATAAACATCAACTCACAGCCCGAGTAGATAATAACAACACCAAACGATTGCCTAATTATCGGGCTATAGTATGGCTATTTCAAATGATTGGAACTAAATAATTTGACATTAGAGGTAGGCCCCGTCCCGGGCCAGTTCTTTTATTCCAGAATGTTCTAAATTTATTTATTTAATTATTAATTTAATTAAGAGATGGCGCCTAACGCCTACCTCTAATGTCAAATTACTTAGTTCCAATCATTTAAAATAGCCATATTATAGCCCGATAATTAGGCGATCGTTTGGTGTTGTTATTATCTACTCGGGCTGTGAGTTGATGTTTATATATTTAGTTTTCATGTTTGTCATGGCCGAAAATCCGCTCTCGCAGAGGTATGTTGTGCAAAATGGTAGTAAATATTTTATTGCCGCTTCGCTGACATCATAAATTCTAACCCGATTTAGAAGCAAAATGTCGCAACTGATTATTAAACTCAGTGAAGTCTCATTATACTCTGCNATGTTGCTAGGGTCTGGGCTTATTCCTTTATCATTGATCACATGCCCTAGATACTTCACTTCCTTGGCTAGGATCTGGCATTTACTGGGGTTCAACTTTAACCCCTCATCCTGCAGTACTTTCATGACCCTACTAAGTAGCTCAAGGTGGTCATCTAGTTTTTGGGAGAACAAAACCACATCATCTTGAAAGATGAAGCAACATTATTAATTTAATTAAGAGATGGCGCCTAACGCCTACCTCTAATGTCAAATTATTTAGTTCCAATCATTTGAAATAGCCATATTATAGCCCGATAATTAGGCGATCGTTTGGTGTTGTTATGAAAACTAAACATCGTCATCAGTCAGTATTCTTTGAGACTGAAGCAAACCTTTGGTCAGCTTCAGTCTCAAAGATGACTTGAGACTGAAGCTGACCAAAAAGCAACCAGATTTTACAAAGTTGTGCAAAGAAAATCGTGCACATTTGTCACATTAAAATCAAATAACCTTATGTTATTTTCATTATTATTAGAATTGTATTTTAAAGGTAATAAATGTAAAAAACAAACTTATTCTATTTATCACTAGCTGTCTACCCACAGCTTTGTCCGCATTATATCAAATTTTTTTGCGGGAGTATGATATTTTCTCGCAGTAAAATGTAGCCTATGTCCATCTCCAACATGTACAATGTCTGTTCAAAAAGTATCAGACCTTTGGTCGGCAAAAATACATTTATTGATTTTGAGGTACAAAACCCTAATCCGCTTCAAAGTAGTCTCCTTGATAGTGTATACACTTCTCTCAGCATTCCTACCATTGCTGGAAACACTGCTGGAACGCATCTTTTGGAATGGCCATCAGCCAGTCCGTTGCATTTCGCACAATGTCTTCTCTCAACTAAAATCGGGTTCCTTTTAGCGGCATTTTCAGCTTGGGAAATAGCCAAAAGTCACACGGAGCCATGTGGGGAAAGTACGGAGCATGATGAACCACAGGAGTGTTGTGTTTGGCGACGAAAGCCCGAATCAGATGCGCAGAATGGGCGGATGCGTTATCACGATGGAGCTGCCAAGTTTTGATCGACCACAGATCCGGTCGTTTGCGTCGCACAGCGGAAAGACGACGAAGGATCTCCTGGTGGTACTCCTTTGCGATGGTTTGGCCTTGTGGTGCGTACTCATGATACACCACCCCATGGGAGTCGAAAAATCTGTCAACATGACCTTGATATTGCTGCAGACCTGCCGCGCTTTTTTTGGCCTCGAGGATTGTCCCCAAAAGCCTGCTGAATCTTGCGAATGGTTTACGCTCGGGTATCGCCAAGGTTTTTGGCAAAATTTGATGTAATATCGCTGCTCACTGTTCAGTCATTTTTCAACTTACAAGTTAGTGGAATCCGACGAGCGCTCACTACATGTCCTCACTCATAGGCCGACTGCCAACGACTGACGCTTCCTGCAGGCGGGAAAAATTTCAGGGCCTCGCATGACTGTCCCCTCCACAACTCCACGGAAAGAGGCCTCCCGTGCATCATTGGTTTACACGGAAAAAATAAAAGTCCGATACTTTTTGAACAGACCTCGTAAGCTATCTCTGTGCAAATTTTATTAAAACCTGTTTAGCGGTTTAGACATGAAAAGGTAACAAACAGAATTGCCTTTGAATTTATAATATTAGTATGGATTAATATGGATTTCTGCTATAAGGGGTACGCGAGTTTTAGCTCTTTCTTGAAGTGGTATGTAGGAAAAACTAATTGGGAACCACTGCTCTAGATCTTCGGACCTTACTCCTCCAGATTTTGGGGCTTTTGGGGATGTTTCCAGCATATGCTATGGGAGAAACTGTAATATCATATGTAAAACTTAAACCTTTTTCACTGCCCATCAATTTTTTTTGGACACCCTGTACATGCGACAATGTACAGGAGGACAAATGTTTTAGAGGAATGTCTTCTAAGAAGACCAAAAGGTCATTTTCTAGAAAGTTGATATATAGTTCTTTTGTCACATGAATCAGAAGAACGTGTGGTCTAACCACCAATGAATGCACACCACACATCAGCTCTGAAATGATGTCGAAAATGGCTCTCTACTGTAATGTATGGGTTTTCTGGATCCCACAGATGTGTTTCTGATATGATTGGTTATATTCCTGGGTAAATTGATCCTTGTTTGTAAATGGGATGTATTTAAATGATGATATTGTAATCACACATTGCATATTATCCACTCTTAATATTTCATTTTATTGATATCACTATTAAACTATATGATTATACAGGCTGTTTCCCTCAGATACTTCTAGTTTTGTGGATTAATTTTAGGAAATGTTAGCGTACAGTAGTACTGTAGACAGTGGTAACAGAAAGTGTATGGGAAAAAATTAAATTACGACATTAAATCAGTACATTTCCAAATATGCTCTCAACGTGGCATGTCTGATATTTGGTCTGTACTTGATTTAGTTCAAATCCGAGCCAGTATGTTAGGAGTATCCATGATTCTTGTGTATGGCACTTTCGTAACATATGCCCACAAAGAAAAAAGTTCAAAAAGACAATGTCAGATGATTCGGCAATCTGCGAAATGGGGCCCCGACAATCTAGATTGTATGGTAGTGAGTTTAGGATCATCATCATCAAGCAGCGGCAATGACTCTCTTGAGCATACACATGTGAAACTTGAAGTATTTACCAATATTCTCTGATGCATCTTATTTGCATATCTGAACAAATGGTGTATAGTATTGGCTTGTAAACAGAGAAGGAACGAAAAAAGCACTAACCTCACTAATTGGATCCACGGGTGGGGTGGTGATAGACCACTTGCCAGATAGTGTACTCCTGGCCATAAACAAGTCGGTCGGATATTGGTGGACGTAAATGTAAGCTTCACTCTCATCTGATCAAAGCGGACTTGGGTGAAACCTGTTTGCCGCAAGGAAGATTTGTAATTGGTTAGAAGTTCCTGTCCAAAAATTCCATAAATTGCAGAGCAAACGGGAGAGAAGGGCTTGAGACTGGTAACACGGAAGTCTCGGGCTCTTGGGAAGCCCACTGAGCTTAGAGAGAGCATACTCCTCTGGTAACTATCTCAGGAACGGGTAAGTGCGAGACCGGATGAACCGTGCAGTAGAGCTACTCCACAGGCTGACCGAGGCCTCTCCATAGCATAATAGTTCTCAAAAGTTAAACTAGTACGTTAGGAACCACACTTTTTGTATCCTGTATTTACTGTGTTTTTCAACTTGTATACTCTATTATATATTTTATAAGTAAACTATATATATTGTCTATCTTCAGTGTGAAGGTGTGCTTTCACCAAACTTGGATCACAACTACGAGGGTGGATCAAATATAAACGGGATTTATTTTATGTTTTAAAATTATTTATTAAAAGATAAAAAAAACATTATGATTTATTTTTCTACATAGCTTCCTGCTATAGAAATACATTTTTTTCAGAGAGAAGGAAGGTTTCTTATTCCAGTATCATAGAATGAAGTCGGTTGCATCAGGAGCCAATTGCTCACAATTCCTCCATTCCTACATCATCTTCGAATTGCTGCCCTCCTATAGCTTCTTTAAGCAGCCCAAACAAATGAAAATCGCAGGGCGATAGGTCCAGGCTGTGGGGAGGATGATCAAGTGCAGTCCAGTGCATTTTGTTAAGTTTTGAGACTGTTAGAGCTGCAGTATGAGGCCTGGCGTTGTCATGGAGGAGAATGACATCTCGAATCGGTTGGTTTCGTCTCTTGCACCGATATGCAGCCTTAGCTTTATCCAACAGCTCGCAATAATAAGCAGCATTGATTGTGCTTTGAATAATGTCTTGAACTGCTTGAATGTTTTTGCTTGTGATGCTGGTCCGAGGACGGCAATTGTGTTTCTGATTTTCCACTCATGTCTGTCCTTCCTTGAAATTTTTATGTCAGGCAAACACACGAGTCCTTGACAGTGTTTGATCCCCAAACTGTGAAGTCAATCTGCAAAAAATTTCTGTCGCGTCTACTCCTTCACGAGCAAGAAATTGTATGATTATGCGTTGCACAACAGAGGGGTGTACGTGTTGCTCCAACATCGTGAGCACTACTGACAAATTGGTTGAAAGTATAAAATGGCCAGCGTTCCCTACTCGTAATGGCCCTACCCAATCAGACTAGACCCGCAGGCCATGTACTGCCAACCTTAGTTGCTCAGGAACAAAAATCCCATTTATATTTGATTCACCCTCGTATATTGAGTCGTGATAAATATGGCAACTCAATGAGAAGGAGTTTGGGGAAGAAACTTCACAAATGGATTTTATGGAACAGTTTAAAACTAGAAATGTTTGAGATTAACACCTGGTATTTTAGTCTAATAACTTATCGATAAGTGAAATCAAGGTTTTAAACTAGTTTAGACTAAGATCAACAAAATATAACTAAAGCAACATACAGCCATTGAATTCAAATGTTTCCATCTTTTACCTACATTGACTGGTCTCGGTTTCAGTTAAATCCATTTGAATTTTCATTATTAGTAGGACGTTACGTAGAATTCACAATTTATGTCAACAAATGCAGTGAAACTGTAACATTTAGGATGATTCTTTGGTATACGTTCTATGGAGTGAGTTAGAATTATTTAAGTATTAGTTTTATTTTATATGAAATACTAAAACGGTAATCTTTCAGGGTCGAGGGGTTGGCAGCTCGACAGATCGCTCGACGGCCCGCCGTCCGATGTACAGATAAGCCTGAGATATGTCAAAACGGTGGAAGCGCAGGAAAAAAAGGAAATCGAAGAAGATTTTTTGAGCATTCTTGTCAAAGATATAAACTTAAACATGCTGATGAGTTCCTTTTCTGGGATCACGGATATGCTCGAGGACGAAGTCATACCCAAGCCAATTCCCACACGCATAATAATAAATAATCTCATGTTACATTTGATGGTAAATGTAGATTATATTTTACTTATTTGAAATATTATAATTTATATTTAAGGTAATATTTTCCAATTCTAATGTTGACGAAAAATTTTCATCGTAGCCTGCTTGTAGGGATTTTAACTATACCGAAGTAAGTTTGCAATTCTCTTGCATCTGTAAGAGAATTTTGAGATAATGATTTTTTGTGTGCAGCTTTCATTTCAAATGTTAATGTATGGATAAAATTGAAAAATGCATCAGGAAAATTTGTTTAAAATTTTATTATTTTAGTGTTTATATTAACTAGAAAGTTCTTGATTATTGTGATTATTGACTGTTAATTTACTATGGAATCGGGTTAATAACAAATCTTTGAGGTGGCTTTATTATTGGCTGACCAAATGGGCAAAGAGGTGTCGGCCTACTGATCTGGGCGGTCAAAAATTTTGGGGGTGGTTCATTCTGGAAATGTTAGTCCGTCTCTTGCCACCCCCAACCTGAACCCGGTTTTCATTTAGATCTATTCTGTATCTGTTCCAGAACAACAATGCATCTGCAGCCGTGGTGTCTGCGCAAAAGTTTTCCAGGGGACGAAACTTGGAGACAAATAATTATACCGATAAATTTTTATTTAATTATTTAATTTTTTTTCACAAATAGATTACAGAATACAGTATTGCATCAATATAAAAAGACAAAGCCTCCCTTGGTCAAGGGATTTGTATCTCGATAACTTTTATAATTATAAATTGTGGAATTTTTTACTTGATTCCAAGGGAGGAACAAGTGCACTTTGCCCCCTCAGTGAATGCCCATGTCCATGGCCCTTTGTGGTACTCGGTTGACTGTAAGCTTTTACTCTTGCTTGGTGTATTCAGAGTTGGTTTTTTATATAATTATATGTATATATACATTATGCTGGGTTTGGCTAAGGGCAACAGGTGCGTAGTCATTTCCGTTCAGCGAGTGACCCGTAGGTAATACATTCTAAATTAATTTAGTCTGGAAACAAAATTTGAAGAGAGAACTGCATAGTGTAAGTGTTAATGCATCTGCACAATAAGCAAAAGTTAGCAGGTTCTAGTCCCACACTAGATCAATATTTTCTACCAGAATATTAAACATTTACTTATTTAATTTTAATTAAATTTCATGCAAAGTGGTGACTTAATTGCCCACATTTAATCCAAATTGCATAGTATTTTTAAATTTAATTAGTTGAAATGTGGTCGATAATTTGAAGAATGCTGTTACTTACTGGCAACATCTTTGCTTCTGGATTTGGAGGTATAAAAAATGGCTAACAAAGTAATATGTCATCCTATGTCTGGCCAGTGTTTTATGTATAAATGGAGTGGAATAAAGATGATTGTAAGGAGCTTTCTATCCATAGTAGTTAAGACAAAATAAATACAATATATGATCTTCGCTTAATTAATAATCATAGTAGACAGCAGGCCACAAATATTTTGTGCATTCTTACATATACAAAAAATAGACCCATTTTTATAATTTATAACTGATGCATCAGATATGTTCCTGCAGCAGATTAATGCACCTCCACAGGCCATAGTTTGGGCATTGTCGTTTTAAGCGACAGAGTTGTTTAACTTGTTATAACTGGATTCCATTGTAAATATTAAATATTAAATTTTTAGTTTTGAATTGTTACAATTGTAAAATTAATTCTACTTACATTTTTTTAAAATTTACTTTAAAATTTATTAAACAGGAAGATAGACCCTCTGTATATATTACCTCTCCGGGTGTCGTTCCTTTACACTTTCATTTGCCGGGCTGCTTACTCGAAAGAACCGGTGACGGCTATATACATTTTTTACCGCTTCCATCAGGTAAGATTTGCCTAAATGTATAGCAAATAAATTTGTTTGAAATTTATTACTGTATTTATATAACACGGATAAAAATTAATATATTATTATGTCACTTTTACAACAAAAGCAAGCACTTAAATTATGTGACATTGGGCGATGTGGGTTTAAAAGCTTACCATGTAAGCACATAAGAAACTGTTACTGAATGTAAAATGCACAAGCAGCAGCTTATCCGGATTAAATGGCACGTGGACCAGAGTGCCAAAATGTCAGATTCTGTTGTGTATTTGGATTGATCTGAATTTAATCTGCACAAATCTGATGGCAAATCCTATGCTAGACATTGTAAAGGCAAGGCCTACAACAGACCTATAATTGCTTGATGTAGACATTGGTTTCCAGGATTAAATGTATATTTATTAAAGATTTTGACAGGTTACACTTTATAAATGAGTATGTGAATGCAGAGAGTTACAAAAACATCTTATCTTCCAAGCTAATTCTAACAATCAAGAAACAATTTTGGACACAAAATCTCCCATCTTTTGGAATGATGATGTGCCATTTCATCACACCAAGATGGCAAGTAAAGTATAATGTATTCTTTCTCTAGGGTTTCTTAGCATTATTGTCACTTAAACTGACACACAACATTTAGTATCACAAGTCTGATAAAGAATGCTCGAAGAAACTCATGCCAGAACACAGCAAAGTTGTTATTAAGGCCTGAAGTGACCCTACAGAGTATTGTGGTCACATTTAATGAGAAATAACTGCTCGTGTTTTCGGGACTGCTTATGTTTGTGAACTGTAGTTTTGTTTGCTTCCATAACTGAATGACAATTGCTTGCAACAATGCTTATTAACAGTATCAGTGAGGCTGCGGTGTGAAATAACGCTCGCATGTTTATCAATAATAAAATAATTTTAATATATTATTATAACCAAATATTTACGATTTTTGTAAAATTGTATATTTACAGATTTTATAGATAAAAATCTTCCATTACTCATCAATTGTCAAAATGGTAAAAGTCTTCCAATTTTAATTGCAAGTGATAAATGTGACTGGAAGTCCCTACTTGCCGATCCTAAAGGTTTAGAGAATCTGACGCCCATCAAGTTGTCTTCGTCTCCTATAGAGAAGAGTATGGACTGCCGGTGCATGCAGATAAAAAGTACAAGTGATTCTCCTAGGAAATTGCCGGATGACGACATTCAAAGAAAAGATAAAGAAGAGCTGGAAAGATCGAAAGGACAGTCCGATTTAATAGAAAGTTTAGAAACAGAGAATAAATTGCTCAAAGAGGAACTGCAACTGTTAAGGAACGCGCATGATAACAACATTTTTTATAAACTGTTGAGAGACACGAGGGATGACGTACGAAGACTAGAAGAAGAAAAGAAGTCTCTTTTGGACACGTTACAGGTTCTACAAGAGGAATTAAGTAAGTATGAAAAATAAAGTAGGAATCCAACTATAAAAGTCTCTCCCATTATACAAAGCCAAAGATTCGTAATGGGTTTTTAGACATTGCAGAGTTTAAATGTTCCCTTTCCAGTGCAATAATTATCGAGAGGGAGATTTGACCCAACATAAGTATATAAAATTTAATGTAATAATCGTCGTCTGTGATGTTATCATACTGCCCGTCGCGGCTAGGCATTCATCATATTCTGTAAATTAGTTTATCCGGCATAATATGTCTAAGACAGTATATTACTGTTGTTTCCGACGTGGCCTTAGCACTACATTCTCGTCACCATGCTATATTTGAAAAATAGTATTATAATGCGAATTTATTTTAAACGTCTGGACGGACTTCGAAACAGGATTATTTAGTTCTAAGTTAGGTTTTTTTTTCTCCCACAAACAGATTAATTTTTGTACACTTAAATTTAAAGTAGGCATTTATTATGTTTCATTATAGATTATTCATTGTTTCGAGCATAATGATGGATTTTATAAATTGTTAACGAGTCCGGTTTAAGCAAAAGTATATTGTACATTTGTAAAAGATCACAGAATGAGTAGGAATATATCTTCATTGTCATATTGTAATTTTACTGTTATTTTGTGAATATTTATCTATTATATAAATATTATTATTATTATTATTGAAAAAGGAAGCAATGCAGGAAAAAATAAAGTCTGAGATGTGAATTTTAAAGCTTTTAGTCGAGTTAGTTTTTAAGTTTCCGGGTTTTTGCATTGTGCAAAACGTATGTTGGAAGTAATTTTTAGATGGTCAGAATTTTTTTTCTGGAAATCTAAAAATTGCAAAATGCAAACTAAAATTAATATTGTAATAAATTCTTGAAACAAATATCTTTCTTTCTATATATTTCTTGATAGTTTGCTTAGAAAAATACTGTCCAGAATTTAGTTAAAAACAAGGTGTACTGTGATGGGCTGAGATGTTGGCCCATCCAACCATCATAAGCTTTGTTTAGGCCCACCCTCGTTTTGTTTTCGATCCCAAGTTCCCCAAAATGTCTGACATTTTGGCAAACTTGAGATTGAATTCAGGCAAGCAACTCCACGGAAATTTTTCCTGGACAGTCAGGCTTAGCTATACTTACTGGTGGTCAAGTGGATGAAACTATATGGTTGGTTGCAGATTTGTCCCTCGCCAATAGACTCACCACGGTTTTCTGGGTTTGCTCTGTCTTAACATCTATG